TAGTAACATCTATGGTGTTACGGGTCAATTTCGACCCATATATATTTACTTCAAGAAAAAGGCTAAAGATAAGACTTTCATCCACTGTCACCTCTGGCCCTGAGTTGAACATCAGTGGAAGGAGCTGCACCCATCTGTCCCAGACATCCCTGATGGGGGCAAACTTGTCAGATCTTGCTCTGGTATCTCTGTTGTCAAATCTGAGGACTCTTGATATCATTTGAAGGGTCTGAAGTGACATTGTTGCCCATAAAATATTTCTACCTGTCGATGCATCCCAGAGACTATTGGTGGCCTCATTGCAGGATCTGTATACTCCAGTAATAAGAACACCAATATAAGCATCCAGGTATGTCGTTCCACATGTCGCCAATGGACTTTTTTTCCTTTGAGGTTTGTCATAGCAATGATGACTCTTTTTAGTGACAATGGCATAAATAGCTCAAAACATATCTTGTCACTGACTCTCGTCACAGCAAACCTTATGATTCCAGGGGTCATTTTGATAACATTTGCAGCAGCTGCCCTGCCATGTACATCATGAGGTACTGAGCTCCAACAGATCCGGTGACCTACTCATCAGACTCATCAGATGTGTCTGTCTTCTGGATGATACGTCCCATTGTCTTCCTCCTCAGAAGCCTTCTCATCTGTATCGCTATGCTGCTCTGTGTCATCTCCCTCATTTTCACCAAAAGTACTGTATTATCCAGAACTTGTCTCACTGAAAATTTTCTTTTCATTTTTGCATGCTGCAAATTGGAGATGTGCACTCTGCAAGTCACCAACTCTAAACTGAATTGACCTCACATGTCTGGACATACCCGTCTTTGTTTGTTTTATTTTTGTGCAGGTATACTGGATAACGAGGCAAAATGAGAATCCCCTAAAGCTCACACGATTGGGAGAGGAGCTGGCTGTCAGTGTGTTGGCTGATAATGCACATGATTTCAGTCTTGGCTCTAATTATTACTTTATAAACTGATTTTTTATAACTGGGTCGAAACCGACCCTAACAACACAAAGGTCATAATTTCAACCAGAGCATTTTATAATTTAGTGAAAAAATTTTTTTGTTTTATTTTATTGAAATAGAGGTTTCTGACAAAGTCAGAAAGCCTTGATGTAATAAAGAAATGTATGTGGTTCTTTTATGCATTTAACCCTTAGATGCACAAGTGGGGTCAAAAATGACCCAGAGGGTTGTTATTCTTCAAAATCTCTGAAATTAAAAGTTTTTACATTTCCATATTCCAGGTATTCCTCATAAAACATGTTTGCGACTTGAGGCCATTTGAATTTTTTTTTATTGTTTTTATACATTTTAAGAAATTGCAGTTTTTGTGTCACTACCCCAGTTTTTCATAAGTGGGGTCAAAAATGATCCCAAGCATTTCCTACAGAATCTCAAGGGTTTGCTTTGGGAACCTTTGATTCTTACCAACTGTGACTGTCAGGATACATTTTCTGTCCCACTTACACATCTGATGCCTGCAGTCTCACCACCAGGAGGTCAGTTTGACACAGCAGCATACATGTAAGTATTATCTTCATTTATCAACTCCATGACTTTTCTGTGATAGAGTATCATGTTGGTCAACAAAGTAGACACTAGTTAGCTAACTACAAAATAATGTTAGTAGTATGTTAGTACTCTGTTAGCTAGCTTACTAAGCTAGCTAACATTACACTAGCTTAGTAAACCAGCTGATATTACTGAATTTGTTGTGTAGAGACTCACTGTATTCATAATTCCTTGTAATAAAAGCTAACCTGTTAGGTAACCTATTATATGATTATTGAATATTGATTGGTGTGTGTGTGTGTGTGTGTGTGTACACACATACATGTCTGTGCCTTTACTGACATATAAATGCACAGACATTTAGTTAGATAGCTACATATTGATTTATAGTTTTGTGTGTCATTCAAACATTGCCTGTTTTATGTTTTCTCATCTAGACTATCATGGCTACTTGGAGGCCAGCTAGGATACCCGAAGACCTTGCTAGAGATCTGATCCTGAACGGATGGGATGAGGAGCCCATCGGTGGGATTGACTTGGGATCTGACATCTCAGATGTAGAGGATCCAGATTGTGGTCCTCCAGACTGATGGACATACTAACAATAATTTTTGAAGATTTTTGATGTTACTTCTTGTGAAAWWWTMTTATAAAAAGTTATAAATAAGCATGTTAAATGTAAAATCAGTCTTTTGTTGACCCAAATATAATAAATATAATCACCTTTAACCAAAATTAAAGACATTTTTTTAATTCATTGCAAAAACACATTGATTCTAATTGGGGTCATTTTTGACCCCAGAAGAGTGTAGGTATTGGTCGTTCATGCATCCAAGGGTGAAAAACTAAAATGGGTCGGTGCCGACCCTAACACAAGAGGAAGGTTAATTAACAACCTCACCTATTGTGATTATTCGCAAACTACTGATCCAACAATTCCTGCACTTTTCAACAGTCAGAATACCACCCATTTTTTTTCATAATTCAGTGTTTTTAGGACTTCACCTCTGAGAAAACGTTTATCTTTATACCCATGAAAATGACCGGGATGTTCAAGTGTCTGTCAGTAACGGAAGGCAACGTGGCTTTAGGTCCCGAGGTCCAGTTTTCTGTCAAAGAACTCAACACTACATTCGAGTTTTGAGCAAACTGGAATGAACAAATGTTATTAAACGCAACATAATGAGCGGATTCACACAATAAATAACAGTAGAAAGAGTGGCATTGTTAGGATTTTAACTTGGACCTATAACTTTGGTACACTTAATGAAACGTGTATTAGGATTGTTAACCCCCTGTGAGTACTGGAAGAGAAAAAAATGACAAGATAACTTTATGGAGAAAAGTTAATGCCATTTAGACACTGTGCTCAACTGGCTCTGATATTTCCAAACAACCATCATGTTCATGTTTGTCAGAGTCCAAATATTCCCTTGTGAAATGTGTCAGTCGTGTACATACCCTTTAAATAACTCAGATATGACAATAGCTAGCGATAGTTTCCTCGTGATCTGCTTCGTCTTGGTGTGTGGCAGCTGTGTCGGTCGCTCGTCCTCTGTTGATTATTCTGCAGCTGAGATCATTTCTCGATCAGGCCTCCGTCTTTTAATTTGAAGTAGAAGAACTTCTCCAAGGTGTTGGCACACTTGCAGTATTCACTGTCCGGGGGGTTGTACTCACGGCAGTTGGTGATGATTCGCTGCAGGTCGGCAATGAAAAGCTTCTTGGTCACATAGTACCTGTTCTTCAATCGCTCCGTCATAGTTTTCAGGTCTGTGGGGACAATTAAGGTAAATTGACAAATGTATAGTTTGCTTGACATAAACAGTGAAGGCAATGAGGTAGAGGAGTTGTAGAAGTAAAGTGACACTCGCTCACCGATGGGAAAGCGGATGATTTCATAGTAATCTGGAGCCTCAGATTTCTTCACTGGTTCCATGAAAGGCCAGGCATCAGGGTGGGTCTGGTGAGAAAAAGTCCTTTAGCCTCCAGTTACGATATGTTTCAGTTTAAAACTGTAACTTTAAATGAAAATGATCTCCAGGCGAGTGTTTCAGCGCTTCATCAGAAAGAATCTGTCCATACTAACATTACCCTTTTCCAGACACAAACTCTGGAGAATGTCCGCACAATTGGGTCCGGACTTTCTCTGGAGGTTCACACATGAACACAGCCGGAGATTCTCTGCTCAGATGCGTTCACAACAACATAGAAATCTCCGGAGCGTTCAGACGTGGGGTGTTGCAGCAAACAGAGGCAGGATTTAATGTGTCAATTCCACTGTTAAGATCAAATGTTTTTGTTTACAGCACATCTGCGCCAGCGTTGGGTCTCATCACCAAAAACTCTCTTGACATTATCGGCATCTCCTACATGTGTGTCACCACCTTTTCATCCTGAGACATTATACCTATATCTTAATAGTTTTGTACTAGGGAGCTGGCCAGAGAAACTCCAAAGACTCTGACATTTGCGTTCTCAAATACAGCCCCTCGGGAGAATGTCAGTAGATTATTGACCCTCACCCATATGTGTAGCAAGTGATGCATTTTAAAACTAACATGTATTAGTGTGGATGAAGCCTCTGTTCCTGTTACCGCTGGAGTGTGTGTCTGTTCCTGTCTGGCATCAACAAGAGAGTTCTACCTTTATCTGGGCCAGGAGGTTCTTCAGCATGTTGTACAACACGTCAGGGTCCTTCACCTCTTTCCTACAAAACATGTAAAAATGATGAATAAGAAGAATACTGACAAGTAGGGAAAAAATTATTTTGAGACTTTTAAATACTTGCATAGCATATGCAGAGTAAAACAAAACATCAATAACATTTCAAGTAATGTGTATCCCATTGATTTTTAAGTTTGGGACTGGTAGCATTTACTTTACCATCTCAGAGTCTTATATTCAAGATGAGTTTTATATACTTTTTATAGTTATGTACTAAATATGTGTCTTGTTAAAAGTAGGAGTTGTCCAGGTTAGAAAATACATCAGCGTTACTTTGTGACTTTATCCACTATGCTTTTATTGTGCAGCTTCTCAGGACTGTGCCTTTCATCGAGATAACTCAAGGAAAATGACCACATCTCAAAGACAGCCTGGTAAATATGAAGCTCCTCTAGAACACCTGATTACTACAGCAACACGTGCACACGCATCTAGACAAGACAACGCTGATTTAAAAATTATATTTAACAAGTTTACCCTTTGTCCTTGTTACTGGGTTTCCAGCCTGTCTCTCCTGGAAGAAAAACACGTGTAAGTAATATGATAATACCGGTCTTTTAAATATTTTTTCTTCATTATACACAAACACTTACTTATGCCTGGAATGCTCTCCACTGGGATCTGTCGGACTCCCTCTTTGAAGCAGGTCAGTCCTGGGTAAACTTTTCTAATCTGGCTCTGCTTTCTCTCAATCAGCTTCTTAATAATCTAATGCAACAATATAAAAGTTCATGTGATATTAAAACCCAGAGATTAGCAGCTGAAAGCATTTTAATGAGAACACACCACGGCCTCACAAACCTCTTTCTGTCTTTTGATGATGTGCGAGAGCTCAGTGTAGGGGATTCTCGGGTTCAGCTCACACTCCATGAGCGTCGCTCCTTCGTAGTCTTTGATGTATCCCAGGTATCGACTCTTCGGCACTTTGATGTCTTTGGAAAAGCCCTGCGAGGGAAGAGCAAATTACTGAGCAGACGAGATCGCAGGAGAGGACGTGACAGGGGTAATGTAAAGGTCGGGCCTCTTGTACCTGCTTTTTGAAGTAGCCAATGGCGTACTCGTCAGCGTAAGTGAGGAAATAGAGAATGTTGTGTTTGATGTGGTACTCCTTCAGGTGGTTCATCAGGTGGGTACCATAGCCCTTTTGTTCAACAAACCAGAGAAGACAATCAGAAATACTGGAATTTCGCAATAGGTATCTCAATACTGATGTAATTCTAATATAAGGTCAGGTAGAGTGGCTGCAAGGTCGAAGGAAAAAAGGCTAACCTGGAAAAACACTGTTTTAGCAGTACTTTAGCGCTTCTATCTTTACCAATTTTTAGTTTAGGATTGTGGTCTTGCAGCTGCACACCCCGACCAACCAGTTCTAAACACTTTAATCTTGAATCAAAATTTAGAGAAAATCCCTCAGCGGTCCGGAGACGTCACATTCACAAGAATCACACAAACAACCAGAAAAACATTTCGTCCGGCCACTGCTGCCACGGCACAGGGTCATAGTCCCACTCACAATAAGAAGCATCAAATGAGAGGTCAGGAGCCTTTTTCTGAGCTATGTTTTTGCAGCTGCTACAAATGGATGAATGTGAACAACCATCTTAATAGTCCATCTCTGTAATTACTGCATCTCAAAGTAAATGATAATTGCGTACCTTCACTTGTTCATTGGATGTGACAGCACAGAAGACGATCTCTGTGAAGCCCTGAGTGGGAAACATCCTAAAACAGATGCCTCCGATGACGCGGCCATCTTTGATAAGGGCTAAGGTCTTGTGCTTCCTGTGAAAGTAAGAGATGTCAGGTCGGCGCAACGGCAACATCCGACATGCGGTAGAGAGAACATCTACTCACGGGTCAAACACCAGCCGTGTGATGTACTCTTTGGGCATGCGAGGTAACTGATGAGAGAAGACGTTTTGCAGGCCGACCAGCCACATCAGGATCTTCTTGTTGGACTTCTGGGAAAGCGAGTTTCCAATGACGTGGAACTCTATAATGCCCCGCCGTTCCTCCAGCCGGGCAGTCTCATCACGAGCAGCGTTTGGCGTAAGCAGATTAGTCTAGAAATACAACACAGAACACAACATATACACCATCAGTAACAAAATGAAAGATTGTGTTCACCTTTAAGATGCAGATTAAGTGACTCACCTCTGGTCCGAGCATAGCAGCAGGGTCAGTGATTGTCATCATAACTTCATTGACCAGCTCCATAGGAATGTCTCCCATCACACGTATTCGCTTAGCATCCTCCAGGGTCAAGGCCTCCGGAAGTTTACGTTTCTCGCCTGAACAGACGGAGTCAATACCCAAGTCAAATCAACGAAAAGACAAAGCTGATAGTGATTGTAGGACCGTCAGTGTTTTCATTGACAATAATAGTTACTCTTATGATTGTTAATAAGCACAAAAAAGCACAAATCAAGGATGTTTGTCAGACAACATACACCTGCCTATTCATGGATTTAGTTTAGCATCTTCTAATGACTACTTCTAGCATAATACACAAAGTCACAAAGCAAAGCCTGAAACCATATTTTTAGAGCAAAGAGGGTAAATACCTATAAAGTATTACCATCGTGTTCATAATCAAGTGCTTGGTGGGTGTGCATGTAAGTATGTAGGTGTGCGTTGGGTGTTTTATACCAGTTATTAGTGTTAAACAATCCTACATATAGTCAGTCAACATATGTGATTCGGGAAGAAAGGTAATTTAAAAAATAAATAAGAGCAGTGCAGAGGTCACGGACCTGTGATGGGCTCCGAACATCCAGTGTCGATGCTGCCCAGAGAGGAGATGCTGCTCAGGCCTTTAGAAAGAGCAGGGGAGCCAGACACCGCAGCAGGACTGATCACTGCAATGGACAGACATGATCACAAACTGTGAAACAGGAACTGTGACATCAGCTGTGCACAGGATTTACTATTATACATATTTACATTTTATCTTTTAACATGCTCAAGTCTAACAAGGTTTTCTGTTACACAACTAGATACATTTCTGCATACACAAGTCACATATGAAATTATGGCCACAGGCTGGGTGTACTCTATAATGTGCGGTGTATGTTATTGCTTTGAATTCTCATTTGCTTCACTTCTTTTTTATTTTTAACCATAGAGAGGAATAATTTTTTGAAGAGTTTAACTTAGCATCGTTTGTGATTCCTTTCATTTCCTAGGACAAATGATCCTACTGATGATTACAGAACAGAACTTATTGTTTATGGCTGTTGAAATCTGACTCACAAAATATGTTCACAATGTGATCCTGTTTCCACTACAAAGATCCCACCCGGCTGTACACCTCACCTGTTTGATGCCCCAGCTGTGTGCCATCGGAGGCAGGCATGGTGAAGTCAGCTTCCCAGATGGGTGAATTCTCACCATATATCTCCTCCTCCAGCATGGACAGAAACCTGATGACACACGTCCAATTGTAACTAAGACAGACTGCACCACAACACAACTGTCCCAATTTTAACATAGCTCACACACCACAGAACAGGATCAAAAGATGACAAGGGATGATTCACTAAATCTAAATATTTTTCAACAGTTTCTTTGACATTAAAAGTTCAGGATCAGAGGCACCATTTCAAAAATCTGCTCTTACTTGGGGAAGTGTGTGAGGATGAGTGTGCGTTTCTCTGGCAGCAGTTTATCCTTCTCCACTCGGAACTTCTCCAGGAGCTGGCGTCGGGTCACGGTGAAGATGGACTTGAGCAAACTGCGGCCGAACACCTGAGTGGTTTCATAGCGCGGCAGGCTGTCGTTACTCTGGGGGACATGGCAGTAGCACAGCCACCTGGGGGTCATAAGCAAAGGAATATAAAGGAATATAGCAAATAAAAGCATCTACCAGTCTAAACACTGGTTATTAAAGATAGAAATTAGTTAATTGCATGATGTACCGCTTTATTAAATAGCAACACATGCACCCACCTGGTGTAGTCTACTTTGTACGCTGTCCCATCGTCTTTCTGTGTGCGCTGGCGATACTGGGTCGGCGTCTCCAGCTTCCAGTAATTGAGGCACAAGAGGAACATCTTTGACAGCTCAAACATGGTCTGCCTTTCCTTCGGTGCCAGGTGGCTGAATTTATACTGAACGAAATTCAGAACCCCCTGTGAAATTTAACGAAGCACAATCAGAACAAATAGTTAGACCAATGTGAAATGTGATGGTAACAAACTAAATAAAGGAAGATATGAGAAGCAGGTTTGTTTTTTTAAAAGATATAATCCTGTCGCTCTTTCAGCTGCTGCTAAATAAATGAAAACGAACTGAAAAAGTTTTTAATTTCATGTTCACCTGCTCAATGTTGGGCTTTTCGAAAGGCGGACTTCCGAGGGACCCCTCTACGACTGGCTGGCTCATCTGCAGGATGCATTTCCTTAGCAGCTAAGAGGAAGAGGGTAGAAATGACATACAGTGTTGACAGCTGAACGCTTCCTCGGACCTGTGGGCCAGTGTATCATCAGCATCTTGCAAATGGACGCAGTGATTGATCTTCCTGTGACACCCGCTTGCTTACCTTAAACAGGTAAAAGTAGACCTGCTTGGTATCAGTGTCCTCCTCTTTGTGCACAGACATGAAAAGGTTCTCCACGTCCACCACCATCCCCAACAGCCTGTTAATCTCATCCTCAGAGACATTCTCCAGGTGGGACACATGATCGGCTGCAGACAAGGGATGGAATCAAACATACCCATGGCTATATCATGTGCAGACATTGGTTGTGTGGTGTATTTCAGTGGGGGGGGGGGTGTATGTGGAAGGTGTTTGTACCCAGGGCATGTCCACAGCTGCGGCACGGCTCGCTCAGGCTGGCTGCTTGCTGCTGCAGGTCCAAACGTGTGGCCGATGGGGGATTGGGGTTTTTCCATCCATTGCACTTGCATGTGTCACTCGCCTGAGAACAGGTAGAAAATGATGAACACCGAGTAAAGCAGCTCGAACTGCGACTCAACCGATGCTTGTGTGTGTCAGTGGAAGATTTAAGAATAAAGGCAGCAGATGATTCATGGACAGATTTCATGTGAACAACACCAGACTGGTTAGCTAGCTTCAGAAGTTAACACGACTCGTTCCGCTCGTCTAGCTCGTTAAACTCTTTGTTTATGTGTTTGTGAGCTGTGTGTTCGCTGTGCTAACACTGGCTCCCCCCCTCAGATGCTAACGTTAGCCGGTCAGTGCTTTGTTGTTGTGAACTTTGGGCTAGCTAAGGCTAGCTGGGGCTAGCTACCTTGCATGCGGAGAATACGCCAAGTTTCTCAAGCTTTTTCGCCCGTGGGAAAGCTCGGACTTGGGCTTTCTTCTGGCTGGCACGCTGCTGCTGGCTCAGTCCCGGTCTTGCCGGGTCACTGTTCCCGGGCCCGGAGCCTGTGGCGGCGGTGCTGGAGCCAGCGGAGCCCGCGGAATGGGCTTGGAGAAGCCGGGGCTGTAAGGCCTGAGCCGGATCCGACATGTCCACACTGCGAGACTCGTCCTCTGCTCCCGTGGAGCCCCGGCGCTGCCTTTACTGGCTGTCGGAAAACTGGACTCCGCTGCAGTGTTTAAAGTGGAAATGCCTTTTTTCCCTCCATTTATTTCCATTACAAAAAAACACGTCAACCACAAAGCAAAAACACAGAGATTACACACTAGTGATTAAGATTCGAGCAGATTATCTGACATGGTATCAAACTTTCAAATCAGCACTTTAACACCAAAATGCACCGACTACATGTTTCAATATTACAAAATGCCGCTATTAAACAGACTTCTCTCCATCTGCGTCAAGCAGAATCACTTTTACACATTAAAGTCGCTGCGCAATTCTTAAATTCTGCCTGTTTTCACTTTTATTTTGGAATGTTTTTACAGGAAGTGCTGTTGAGGTCTGTCTGAATATGTGAGTCCATCAGATCACACTGAATAATCTCGTTTAGTGCCCTCCAGTGGCCGTAGCGCCTAACTACACCTCTTACTGTTTTGAAATGGTTCAGCGTATTAGTATTATTATTATTAGTAGTAGTAGTAGTAATTATATTAATAATGATAATAATAATAATAATTATAATTAGGAGATTAGGGGTGCAGTTACTCACTGTGACCACGAGGGGTCAGGAGGAAATCAATCTTCTTGCCCCCTAGTGGAGATAGTTAGAAACACATACACGTCAAACTGACGTTAATAAATGTTTAAGTGGACACAAGTTAGTATCTGAAGTATCTGAAGCAATGAAACGTAACTTCATAAATAATCATACCATTGTTTTGTAAATTGTACTTTAGTGGCCACTGTTACTGACAGAAGCTGCTCATCCTTCAGTGGGAATAAGACTGACTGATATTTAGTGTTTGCAGTTAACAATTAGTGCTAAAAATAATTTCTGTATCAGTGACGTCCATTCTCTCATCAAACAATGAATTGCCTTTCAACATATAATGGTTTGAAATAAACTGTCACAGTATAACAGAGTCATGACCCAACCTGTCACACAGGTGTTGAACAACACCAGCAAAGGCTTTGAAAGCAACACACACTCTCTGTGGTGATAATACCCAATGTAGGTGTTTTTTTTTTGTTTTTTTTACATT